CGAGTGTTTAAGGAGAGGAAGAGAGTTTCATAACTTATGGAGAATCCAAATTGTGAGACAGGCTGTGAAGGGGACATTTGAAGTCCTGCATAGTGTGACCTGTAGCTGAGGACTAAACTCGACAGTTATAATTTACATATTTTTTATTTTTTGGTAGAGCCTGTGATGTTTCTGATGTGTGTAAACCTGGAACAAATATGTTCCACCTGTTGTGGTGTACTCATTGCCTTAAGAGAGAACAGTTAAATTGGCCAAAAGAAGAAAGATGCAAGATATTACAATGCAGCCAGGCAAATAAATGGGGAACACTTGGGTTCTAGTCACAGAGACCAGAACCACAACACAGTGGTTCTAGTCAGTGAAGTATTTATTGGCTAATAAGTTGTTTGTTGAGGAGAAAAAACCAAGCAAAACAGCTATAAGTGAGTGGAAACCTAAACCTGGATGACAGTTCCCATTTTGAAACTATGCAATAAAAGAACCTTACAAGCGTTGTTCAAATATTTGATTTTAAGCTTTTTTTTTAGCTAAATTCTCACATATTTTAGTGATAACCATAAAACAGATAGAAAGATGAGTCCTCAAATGTCCTGCCTCTCTGAAGCCATAGTCAGAGGCCACATATCAGGAATTTTGTCACTTCAAATTCTTCCAAAAACTGAAGGATCTGATGTTGACAGACTGTGCTACAGATGATCTCCTATGTCTGAGGAATGTCCCCTTAAAGACTGGAATATTGAATTTGTTGTGATAGAGTTGTCTCATTTCTCTGCTTTCAGAGTTTTCAGCATGTGTAAATAAATAATTGCATATTCATTGCAGCAAGCCCTGGAAATCAGCTCTCCTCTAATATCCAAACTATAAAACTCTTTTTCTTAGGCTCAAAGTGATTTCTCTTGCATTGAGTTAGATTAAAAAAAAAAAAAATTAGTTTAGTCCTATAATCAAGACTAATTTATGGATTACTAAAATCATATTTGATGCAACTCAAACATTTGCAAGATTATTCACTCAAAAAAACCAAACCAAAACAAATGAACGAACAAAAAGAACCCAAAAAAAACCCCAAAAAAACCCCTTCTAACCCTAATGAAGTATCAGACTCCAGGATGGCACAGTTTCCAGGCATGTGAAGGAATTTTTATTACTCAGATCTGCTTCTAAACCATCGTCTTTTTTTGCTTCTAGCAAATAAACTGGTGTATGCAAGTGTGAATAGCATAGCACCAAGTAATACTAGTGGAGTTCCTTAGAGTTTGCTGTAACCCCAATTTTGAGGCTGTTAAATGTTTGCTCAAGTACAAATGTAAGGGGGAAAACAAATAGAATTAAATATTGTGGCTGTGTACAATACTTAAATACAAACTCAATTTGTCCTTGTACCTGTGGCCCTGAACAACAGTGAAATTCAAAAAAAAAGCAATGGATATTGCATCTAGGGTTAACAAATTGTCAGGTAGTTAAAGAAACAGGCTACTTGTCCAGTCTGTTCAAAAGACTGGACTAAACCTCAAGCTGACCTCAAAATTTACAAGCTGAAGGAAACAGAATCAAAACCAATAAATTACCAAAATCTCATTCAAGAAGAATGACAAAAGCCATGATCCTGAAGCAAACCACCCTGCAGCTTTTTCACAGTGCCTGTCATTCCCTAATCACATCTCCTGGCGCTGCTTCTGGTGACTTAGACATAGCTCTGGTTTTGACTTAGACCAAATCAATTCTAAATAAATCAAATGTTAGCTGCTGAATTTTCTGGAAAGTTTGGGATTAAAATAATTTTCTCATTCTTTGTCTAGCTGGAAAAAAAAATAGAGGAGTTTCTCTCCTCATAGCATTGCATGTGTTCAGATCTTGGCTGCTGGTAGGGACGAGCTGTAACTAAGTAATAACATTTTTCTGCCTTGACTTGTGCCTGTGTAGAGTGTATTTCACTGTTCAGTAGCCTGTTGAACTAGGCAAGAAGGGGAAGGGAAAGACTTATTTCCATATTATCTGCACATGCTTGGCACACAGTCTTTTGGAGCAATTGCATAATTAGAAAATAGGATGATATGAAAGGGATTATGTGTGTGGGTTTTTTTTTTTTTTTTTAAATATATAGTCCTCCTTCAAATATGTTTTGTTCTAAATAGCTATGGGAATATTACAGTAACAACTTCTCATTCCTAATAGGTTGCCTAAAATAAATAAGTAAACAAAATAAGTCTCACAAAGATCCTCCCCTCCCCACAGAGTCTCCCTCAGTGTTGTACAAAGAATTATAAACCATGTTAGAAACATCATTAAATGTGTGCCATAACAGACAAAATAGTAAAACCAGACCCAAGTCACGTTGCTAAAGGATGCTCGAAAGTGTCACAGGTTGCAGTTTTGGAAACAATTTTTTTCAAGTCCAACTTTCCACCTGTTTGTTTTTTTAAATCAAAACACTCCCATTTTTATTAGATGGCCTCTAGTTAATTTTCTGTTCAAAGTGTACATACTGTTCTGCTTCAGCTGGTTTTATTGAACTTAGAAGCTCAAGATTCAAGCAGCGGGTGCCATTATACTGCTGAGCACCAAGCTTTACAATTTCTTCTCCTTTTATCTTGGTAGAATCAAACAGTCATTGCTGCAAATTTGGTACTGCCTCCTCTGTTTCACTTCGGGGTTTTATTTCTATATTATTGGCAAAAGGTTTTGGGTGGGAAGGTGGGAAGAGAGCAGTCTGGTTTTGTGCTGAGCTCTTGAAGCAGTGACACTGTTGGCTTGTGACATCTCCTGCTGTGCATGAAGGGTCTGATTTCAAAGGAATTTCCCCAGGGTGAATTGACAGGACAACTCTTGTCCTTTAGTAATTTTTTTTTTTTGTATGTGTGTGCCTAGACTGCCAAATCAGAGATCTTTCCCAAGAGCCTAATGGCCATATCAGTTCAGAGGGCAGGGATTCACTGCTTTTTGTGGGGCAGGTTGTCAGAATTTGTGTTATTGACAATTCTGAGACTGTAAAAAGTCTCTGTCTCTCTGCCCCATTGCCAAAGCAGAAGCCATAATTGGTCTGTGCTGGTTTCAAGGTTGTTTATTCTGTTTATTTCTAACATGTTCTGCTGCCCTGCCACAGCTCTGTCCTGCAGGGCAGTGTGTGGGGCTCTGCCCTCAGTGGGATGTTACAAACATTAAATACCAGAAACTCCCTGGGCTGGATTTACAATAATGTGCCAATATCTGTCACCTACGTTGAACAGTGTGTCCCCAGCCTGAACCAACAGAAAAATGCCAACACCACAGTGAAATATGGAGGGCATGAAGGAGAAAAAGGACAAGACACACCCAATTTCCTCCATCTTGTCCCCTTTGGACCCCTAATCTAGAATCCTAAAATTTTACTTTTGCACCCGTGCCACACTTAATAATTACTTGTATCAAACACTTCATCCTGTAAGATTGAAAACTTTTTTCCATGGACAGAGATCAGAGACAGTGTCTCTGGGGGCTCTGTACAGGGGGGGTTCCTGACCCCTGCCAGGGCAGCCAGAGGGAAGTCCTGGATTCCCACAGCAGGTGCTCACCCTCAGGGAACTGGATCAAAGCCCACCAGCTCTTCTGAGCAATGTCCACTTGATTGTGGTGCTGTTTGAAGACATTTCTGCCCCTTAGGCAGAGATGACCCTTCTTGCACCCCTGGTAACTGAAAGGTCTCCAGGAACATTTCCTGTTTCCTTCGGGAGAAGACAGAAAATATTCTTGGGATGGCAATGGCCAACGTGAAGGTACTGGTACACAAGTAAGAGTGACACCACATCTGCACATCATACATAGCAGACATACACAGAAGAGCATCTGTTCCTTTCCTTGTTAAGGCAGAGCCACAGCAAATCAGCCAAATTTGAACCAATCTAGGCAACTTTTGTGTATGTGAAGTTCCCTGTGTACAAAATCATAAAATCATTGAGGTTGGAAAAGACCTCTGAGATCATCAAGCCCAAACTTTAATGATTAATGTCACAATTGCAAAACATGGAAAGGTAGAAATTATTTTTGTCTCCAAAAGAAGTCCTTAAAAGATTATCTTTTGGTTATCAAATATTAAATGAGACACTGTATGCTTTCTACCCTTTTCTCTTAGAAGAGAGAAAATGTTCTGTTAAGAGTCAGTTTCGATCAATCAGGTTACATCAAAATTTCATTCTCTTTCAAAGGAAAATATTTTCACCATCTATATTATCCAAACTTCTTTTTTTGCATTATCACTGCTGCCACACTGTGTTTTCCTCTTTTATCATTTTTATGAAAAGAGCTCCATCACTAAATCTATACCAGGCTACAGCCACCCTGGTTTCAGCCAGAATTAGTTGAGAATGTGCCTTATGCCAAGTTCTCAAACATTTTCTCATCAGAAATGCCTGTTTCACTGACTTGGAGCCCTTCTTGGGAAGGTGTTAATTTTTTTTACCAAATTTCACATAATAAAATCCTAAAAATACTCAGCCCATGTTTTTAATTTCAAAATTGCTTTTATTAAAATAATATTTTTGATTGTGTTGTGGTAGAAAACAGAAGAGCTGATTTAGAATAAATTATCTGAAATAAATCTTTTTTTTTTGTATGGGAAAGTTAAACTTTGGTATTGTTTCTCAGAACAAATTAAGTCTTCAAGTGACTGTTAAAAGTTCTCATGGCTCAGAAATTTCCTATTTCAGATAAGAAAGAGCAGCAAGAAATCTGTAATTTGCTTCATATTTTGGGAAATTATGATACATGCTATTTCCTATTTAAAAAGGTAGTTGAAAATCAGGTTTTTGGGGGTTTTTCCCCCCCGTGTGACATTGTAACAGTCAATACAATTAAGTCATCTCTGGTGTGCTTCTTGTTACAATAAAGCAAATGAATTGATTTTTTTTTTCCTGTTCCATTTTGAGAGAAAATCATATTTCCTAACATTTTATATCAGTGAGAGCTCAGGAGAGTTGCAGTGGTCTGGTAGCTCTTAATGATACCTATTTGTTTTTTTTCTTTAGTTTTCCAGATCAAAATATTCGTAGGGCCGCAGTCCAACAAATGGAAAATGTGTCAAATGATGAATTGCTGGAATACCTTCCACAGCTGGTTCAGGTAAGGAGGAAATTGATAGCCAAGGAAGCCTTCAGTCCAGATCAATAACTTCATTAAATATTTTTGATGCTTTCAGGTTGGTTAAGACATTGTGAGGGGAGCAAATAAGTCTTGTCAACTGATGCCATGAGTGGGTTAAAGACAAGCCTGAGGGAGAGACTGTTTCCAGCTTAGGATAATGGAATTGTTTTGGCATTCTGATTGGGCTCTTATAGATAACATATGAAGGTATTTTCAAGTAACAAAGAAAAGTAAAAAGTGCATCTGAGCAAGAGAAATTCTGCTCAGGTGACAGGGCTTCATTGCAGTCAAGGAAGGCAATGCTGTTTGCTACAAAGTTTTTAATCACTGGGTTTTTAATAGCATATATACTGAGAAAAACACTATCAACAAGGAGTTAAGTGGACATTTGGGTTTGTGATTGCCTCTTTAGGGATGTACATAGCATTTCACTGGCAATTAATGTTTTGCAAGTTATGGCTTCCAAAGCACCTGCTGATTGAACAGGTCCTGTGCTGGGGCTGAGCAGGAATTTTTGGAAGTTCTATCCTCTCACTTGGTAACATTGTGCATATGTATGACCCACTATCCACACTGCAGAGTTTCTCAGTGGTTCTTTCTATGTTTGTGATATCTGCTTATCTAGATAGATATCTCTCTATGCACTTATGAATATATTCATGTAATCCACTACTGTGAGGCAGCAGAACCTTCACAGCTTTCCATCATTCACAAACTGCAGTGACCTTTCACCTTCCTCAGCTTCTGTTCTAAAATAAGTTTATTTTCCAAAACAGATAATCAGATTGAAAAAACATAAATATAGCAGTGATAGTTTTAAGTGCGGGGAGACAAGCTGCATATTTATATTCATGTTAACACAAAATCAGGGTGGTGTCTGTCTGTCTTACAAGTGGTGGTAGATCCTTAGGAACTGAAGTTTCTCTGCTCATTGCATTGCCAGAGCAAACTCTCCATTGTCTGATTGCTTTGTTCAAACTAAGCACTGGGTGCTTTCTGTTATAAAGGAGATACTAGAGCCAGCACAAAATTGATTTTTATTATAATTTTTTCTATTAAGGTGATCAAGTTTGAGTGGAGTCTTGAAAGCCCGCTGGTGAAACTTCTGCTGAATCGTTCCCTTCAGAGCATCCAAGTAGCCCATCAGCTTTACTGGTAAGACCATTTGCCATTACAGTCATTTTCTGTGACAGTGGAACTTATCCATGATCCCATGGTGATAAACCCTCTTTTGGTTTAAAATCAACAGAAAAGCTAAGTTTTGCTCCTTCCCTTTCAGCACTGGGTATGGGTGACTTTTATAAAAGACCTGCTTATCTGTGCCTTCATCCTGGCTCTGGGAAGGAGGAAGAGAGGGAAGTTCTGCCATTTGGTTTTTCA